TATGATAAGTGAATTATTTCAAATGCATAAAACCCCAAAGTATTCTCTGGTTAAAGGAAATGTCATTTCCCCTCAGGGAATGATTCCCAAATAAAGGAAAGCCTGTGTTCATGCGAATCTTAAGGCCCCAAACCGGAGAGAATGTTCCATAATAGGGTGAAGACACAGACATAGTCAGTGAACAACTACACACTAAAAACTTCATCCTTGTAAAGGGTACTCAAATCATATTAGAGCTTTAAAAAACAACTCAAAACTGAAGATTGACAGACTATCAATTATTCTTCCTCATAATAACTAAAAAATTGTAAAGACTACTTTGTAGGATTAAAACAATGTATTCTCACCGAAACCGGTTTTGCTCAGTGGTTAGAGCATAGGCCTGCGGGACTGAAAGATCCCGGGTTCGATTCCGGTCAAGGGCATATACCTTGGTTGCGGGCACATCCCCAGTGGGCGGTGTGCAAGAGTCAGTTGATCGATGATTCTCTCTCATCAATGTCTCTAACTCTCTATCCCTCTCTCTTCCTCTCTGTACAAAATCAATAAAATATATATTTTTAAAAAACACAATGTATTCTCTTATCCAACTACAATGGAATCGATGGGTAGCCATGCGGATTCAAAGGCAACAATATATTCTCCTACATGGCACACCTGTCCTTCTCATGGAACAAGCAACATTCAGCAACCATCCTGTCCCTTCTGCCTTTGATCGTTTGATATTCCACACGCTGCCAACTCTCATGACTAGAGTCTACTGAGGGAAGAGTCTTGTTTGCTGACCAGGTTATATAAAACTTCTTTATGCCTAATTTCTTTATAAAGGTTGGGGAGGGGGCCACTTTTTTTTGTATTAAATGACACTGAATTTAATTAGGCCTTCAGATACGTTTGGACAGTAAATGTAGATGTAAGACAGGCAGCTAAAGGAAGATTTAGGAAAGCTTATTAGAGTTCAGAGATCAAGATAAGGCCCATGACGGGTCCCTGGGGATCCCCATTGAGGTCAGCGAGGTGCTGGGTTACCTTCCCCACAGTGCTATCTTTCCGTTATGACAGCTTTGAAAACAGAGAAGGTTCCGTGCACATCAGCACCTCGTGGTTGCAAAAACAATGTAGAGCACATACCTTGCCAATGTGTCAGTAGGTTTCTATAAAACCTGCCGGATTTCCTTTTAAACTTACCTGAACCACCATGTGCACGGGTTAATCTTTTGCTACTACCCAGGTTCCCAGAGTCTTTCAGCCCAAAACCTATCCTCTTCCTTTCCACGTTTTGCTAAAAATATTCTATCTTTTCCTTGGTAAGAAACACCATCATTTGGAGAAGTGCATTCACAAAACTTACGTAGCCATCCCTAAAACAGATGCAGAATATGTCTACAATAGTAGGCACTCCACCTGTTTACAACGAATTCCATCTTCCTTAGGTCCTTAACTTCTCCTGAATACCGACAGATACAGTAGCCAGACTAGGGGAGAGAGCGCCCTGACACATTGTTGACAGCAGGTGGAAATAAATGTGACAAGGTCACTCCAGGAGATGACTGAGTGCTTCATCATCTCCTGGCCCTCACTGGACAGGCACCTGGCACCTGTTTCTCCTCCTCTTTGTTAACACAGTCAACACCAAAGAGGAAGAGACTTCTTGGAAGCTTCTCTCCTGCACAGAAGCTTCTGTTTGAACATGGCAGCACTTTCGGAAAAGGGGTTTTAATACTCCAGAGGCACACAGCAACCTGGGGAGGTCCCAGCTCCCAGGGGCCACTGAGCACTTGAAATGTCACCAGTCTGAGTTCAGACAGACTGTGAGTTCAAATACACAGTCTGAGTTCAGACAGACCGTGAGTTCAAATATATAGCGGGCTTTGTAGATTTAGAGGGAAAGAATGTAAAATGATCTCATGAGTAACTTTTAAATTCTGACATTAAAATACTATGCATATAGGATGAAATAAGATGCTAGTAAAAATTAATTTCACTTGTTTCTTTTTTACTTCGCTATTTTGATAGGAAACTTTAAAATGCTTATGTGAGTTTCCAAAGAACAGAACTACTGCAGACCTAGAGCAGTGATGGGCAAACTCATTAGTCCACAGAGCCAAATATCAACAGCACAACGATTGAAATTTCTTTGGAGAGCCACATTTTTTAAACTGAAACTTCTTCTAACGCCACTTCTTTAAAATAGACTCGCCCAGGCCGTGGTATTTTGTGGAAGAGCCACACTCAAGGGGCCAAAGAGCTGCATGTGGCTCACGAGCCGCAGTTTGCTGACCACAAACCTAGAGCCTTGATTATAACAGCAAACTAGATCACTTGGCATTTCCCCGATTACAAATGCCATTTAAAAACCAAAGGAAAGCAGTATTTCCCCTTGTGTACCACTTACATTGAGATAGCAATAAAAATAACTTGAGAAGACTATAAGAATAATCAGCAGAGTCACTTTGCACTGATACCTTTTTAAAGAAAAATTGCCTCAAAAAGGCAAAAATAGCACAGGATGTAAAAACCACACCTCTTAACGAAGTTAAGATGCAAATACACAAACCAAGTTTTCCTAATAAAGTGGGTTTCAAAGCTGATGATCAGGTTGTCTTTAAAGTGAAAAGGATATGTACAGGACCCGGGGACTCAGAAACAAAACATACATGATTCTATCGCTTTATTATTCAAAGACCTTCGACCACAAACAAGCCATTCACACTATAAAAATGGAAATAATCATCATAACCTAATTCTCTTTCTCAAAACCTAAAGAAAATAACTGCAATAGTTTCCCTATGGCCCAGTAGGCTACCGTCAGTCTACACATTACGATATTTTAAAAGCACATCTTAAAATAAGTATTTTAAACCCACAGTTTTAAAAAAGTATGTTTTTAAAAATACATGTTTATTGATTTCAGAGAGGAAAGGAGAGGGAGAGAGAGATAGAAATATCCATGATGAGAGAGAATCATGGATCATCTGCCTCCTGCACACCCCACCCTGGGGATTGAGCCCAAAACCCGGTCGGATACCCTGACCAGGAATGGAACCATGACCTCCTGGTTCATAGATTGACACTTACCACTGAGCACACCAGCCGGGCTCAAAGTATTTGTGAAGTGAGTAATTCAATGACACATTCCCATGCGTGAACTATTTCTTCCTCTACAATAAAACATCACTCTGCTTTGATTTAAAAATATTTAGGCCTCCAGGGATCAGCGGGTGGGGGGGTGATAGATAGGAATGTATTTCTGAATCTATGAAAATATGTTTTAAGGGGAGAAAGGAATACAGCTCAGTAAAGGATGGCATGCCTGTAGTCAGAGGATGCCAAAGTTACTTCTAGAACATTGTCACTGGGATACAATACACACACACACACACACACACACACACACACACACACAAAAAAAAAAAAAAAAAAAAAACAAACCCTCAGGGAGTTAAGATGTATGGGTCCCTAGAGCTCCCACACCAGTTGAATGGATGACAGTTTCCACGGTGCCCTAACAAATTCAGAGTCCAACAGGGTCACAGTTGACTGTCAGCCATGTATCCATTGGATGCTCATCAGCCGAATATAATCCCCAGGCTTCTATTTATGCGATGATGCATTCCGCAGATACCTTTTCCCTTGTGCATTCAAATGCCAAGCCTCAGTCACTCACACATACTCCCCGTGCAGGCAGCAAGGACTGCACATAGTTTCAGCTGGCAGCAGCCGGCGTGGCTGCAGGTCCTTCCCGGCGGAGAGGGCAGTGGGCAGAGCCCCCAGGGCAATCCTTCCACACTGAAGCCACTCGCGGAGCACCGCGTCCCCCAGCCTTAGCCAGCGGGTGCAGCGCCGGCCAGCGCTTCCATTAGCATCCTATTTTTAGAGTGTTGGGAGCTGGCTGGCCTTTTGCATTGCATTCCGCGGGAGGGCTATTTTGCACCACGGGGAGCAACACAAGCATCCTGAAGTCCTCATCTTCTTAAGCTTAGACAGGCATGCTAAGCCTTTCAGTCTTCTTCTTATTTTTTTTTTTTTTCCAATCGGAACTTTCAATCTGTTCCACACGCAAATTTAAAAAGGAAGGCGATACCGCGGGAGGGAGGGAGGGAGGAGACACCAGGTGGCTCTGCACAAGCCGGGGGCGGGGGCAGGTACGCGGGGGGGGAGGGGGGGGGAGCCGAGCCCAGTGCGGGCAGGGGCCGCGGCGGCAGATGGGGAGGAGCGGGCGCCGCAGCGCAGGCTCCGGGGACCGGGCGGCACCGCGCCGGCCGCCGGGCCCCTCGGGAGGGGCAAATGGGCGCGAGGAAAACGGGGGAGCAGGGAGGCGGCGGAGGGAGAGGGGGCACCGGGCTACCCCTCACCCCGAGGGCAAGGGCGGCGCAGCAGCCCGAGGAGCCAGCCGGCACCGCGCCGGGAGGAGCCGGGGGTTCCAGGCGGCTCTGCGCCCCGAGAGCCGCCGGCGGGCGCCCTGCATCCCGCTCGCCCTCCCCTCACCTGGGAATCCGATGCCAAAGGGGGGTCTACCGCCGGGCGCCGGGGCTGCCTCCAGCCCCTCTCGCTGACATGGCGGCCGACGAGCTGTCACCGGGCTCGCCCGGGTCTCCCGCCGCTCCGCTCGCTCGCTCTGGCTCGGGTGGAGGAGACACCTCAGCCTTTCCCGCCCCGCCTCCCTCCGCTCACCCCTCCCCGCCGGGCCGCCCGCGACCGCGGAGCATAGAGCGCGAGCGCCTAGAGAGGACGCGCGGAGGGCGGGCGACCACAGAGTACGCAGCCTAGAAGGTCTGTCTCGTCGTCAGTCGGCCTGGCCGGAAGCGGAAGTGAGGGGAGAGCCCGGAGAGGGTGTGCGCCTGCGCGGTCGGTCGGTAGTGGTGGCTGCCGCCAGCCCGGCCTGTGTCAGGTGGTGGGGTGAGCCCTGCACGTGGGGCTCCCGGAGTGGAGGTGGCGGCTGCGGTAATGACTCCGGGTGACATTGGGGCAGACCCCGGCGTGTGAGGTTGTAGGCCCCCATGGCGGGACTCTCTCCGCGGCTGGCGCTGCCGGCCTTGGCCGGCGCCGCTCGCCTTTGCCTTTGGAAGTCCGGAGCGGCGGCCTTGGCGGCGAGATGGCAGGGTGTCCCGGCGAGGAGCCGCCGCGGTTTGTCCGGTTTCCCGCCGAAGCCGGCGCCCCGGGAGGGCCTCAGAGACCTGCCCCCCGGGCTGCCCAGGAGCCGCCTGGAGTCCAGGCGGTACGTCCTCAGCCCGAGCCTGGCCGAGACCGTGGCGCGGCTCCTGCTGAGGAACGACGGCTGCGACCTCATCCTGGAGATCAACCCGGGTGAGTGCGGCCCGGGCTGTGCCCGGGGCTCCCGGCTCTGCACACTGCACTGCCCGCCGCGGGCGGGGGGCACAGGCCCTGCCACGGGGTCAGCGTTCGCCGAGCTGCGGGTGTTTCTGGAGCAGTCTGCACGTTCCGCAATGGCTTGGTAGCCAAAACCGGTGTGGCTCAATGGATAGAGCGTCGGACTGCGGACTGAAGGGTCCCGGGTTCGATTCCGGTCAAGGGCATGTGCCTTGGTTGTGGGCACAACCCCAGTGGGAGGTGTGCAGGAGGCAGCTGATGGATGTTTCTCTCAATCATGGATGTTCCTAACTTTCTATCCCTCTTCCTTTCTCTCTGTAAAAAAAAAAAAAAATCAATAAAATATATATATTTAAAAATGGTTTGATAGAACATGCTCGTCGATGCCACCATCTCCCCAAGGGGATGCCATCTCCTTCCTCCCAAGACTTATTTTACCCTTCCGTGAACCTGGAGGCCGTTAGCAGGATGCTGAGAACACTAGACTTAGAGACTTCTTAAAAAGTAACTTTTTATAAAGCTCCATTTCCTACCATGGGCATCGGTTTTATTTAGGATAGTTCACGATTCAGTGGTAGGCTGGAGGCAACCTTTTTGTTTGGCGGCCCCACCCCCCCTTTTTTTTTGAGTGAAACTTTGTGATTGGAGCGCAGGTTTTGCCGTCTTGGACAGAATGGGTTCAGAGCCAAGTAGCACCACTTGCCAATGGTGAGCTGGAGCCCGGGGACTGCCTCTAACCCCAGGCCCCTTGTAATGTCTACTTTGGGAACGACTTAAGAATTAAAATTAGCCGAAACCGGTTTGGCTCAGTGGATAGAGCGTCAGCCTGCGGTCTGAAAGGTCCCAGGTTCGATTCCGGTCAAGGGCATGTACCTTGGTTGCGGGCCCATCCCCAGTAGGGGGTGTGCAAGAGGCAGCTGATCGATGACTGTCTCTCATCGATGTTTCTAACTCTATCCCTCTCTCTTCCTCTCTGTAAAAAATCAATAAAATATATTTAAAAAAAAGAATTAAAATTAGGCAATACGTGTAAAACGACCCCTTTCTTTGATATTGGGAGGAATTTCTTTTGGTAAATAATCTTTTCGTTCTGTTAATATTCTAGGTCCTGGGATCCTGACCAGAGCGTTACTTCAAAGTGGTGCCAGAGTGATTGCCCTTGAAAGTGACAAAGCTTTTATTCCACATTTGGAGGTAGATTTTTAGTTTCTAAAAATAACATTGTTTCAAGCCGCTGCCCCTGCCTTAGTTTAGGGAAGTAAATTTAGGCACAATTGATGGTTGTGGACTGACTTCTGGGGGCCAGGCCATACATAGGCTGTCGTCCCCAGAGATCGTTGGAGAGCTAAAAGCTTGGGGCTCTGAGATTTGTGTTCTGCTTCTCGCTCTGCTACAGACTAGTTTGGTGACTTTGAACAGAGGTATTTCTAGGCTTTTTCCTCATCTCGGACTACACGTGCCCCTGCTGTCTGTCAGCTTAGAATCTGATTGGAGCGCTACGATCGAGTGAATGGGCTGCATTAACTCTGGATTGAGAGGTTCCGGGCAGGACAGACTTGGTACAGTCAGACACAGTTGCATGTTGTGAAGGGATTGCTCAAATGGATTTTCCAGTGAATTCTCTGTTATGTGGTAGACAGGATTACATAACAGTAATGTGGACATTTCTTGCATCATTGTCAGGCTGTTTTGTTTTGTTTTGTTTTCCTCTTTTCCCCTCTCCTTTACAAATCACTACATTCAGTTTAGGAAGCTTAGACTTTTCTATGCCAACTTCCTGAAACATGTAAAATCTAAAAGTGGTAGGATGAAAATAAAAGATTGTGAAATAGCTGTTTTATTTATTTATTAATGAAGCTATGTGCATTAGATGTTTGAAAATTGCTTTGAAAATAATTGAGGGTTTTGCTCGGCTATTTAATTGGTTAAAAATCCGTTAGAATTTCAGAAACATGAAGAGAAAATATGAATTGTTCAAAGATTCAAGATCATAAAATAAGATTTAGTACACATAGCCATCTATAATTTCAGTTTGAAAATTAAAGATAGGATAGCTTTATCCTGATCATTTATAAAAGGCTTACCAGTTTTTGCTCCAATAAAGGTTTTTACTTTTTTAAAAAAAATTGCCAGTTCCTTCTCTCAGCACTAACTTTAGCTCAGCCCCTAACTTAATAACCATTGTTATGAAGTGAAAAGCCGTTCCAATGAAGTTCTGTGTGATTTCATGTATTGAAATAGAACCTTTGCACAGATGTTAAAGTGGTGCTCTTTACAGATAATACCTCTAGGCCCCCAAAGGCTCTCCAGTGTGCTTCTAAAACCTGAAAGGATTTTAAAGGATGATGCTTGCCCTGGCCAGTGTGCTCAGTGGTTAGAGTGCCAGCCCCCACACCAAAGGGTTGAGGGTTCGCTTCCCAGTCTAGGGCACATGCAGAAGGTAACCAGTCTACTAGGAAGGAAGAAAGGAGGGAGGAAAGGAGGAAGAAAAGAAGGAAGGAAGGAAGATGCTTGACTAGAGTTTTATCTAACTTTAAGCTCCTCCCCTTCCCATTTCCCTGATAAAATTCTTGGGACTCCACATTAACAATGTTTCAAATAGAAACAGTTTCTTTTCCTAGCTGGATGTCTAGAGGTACACATGATACAGATTGTGTGCTATAATAATAAATCATGATATATCACAGGGGGGCAATTTGATATTTAAGGTGGGCCATTTGAGAATAAGCTATTAACTGAATTTTTTTGCATTACTTATGGTTCTAGGGGCCTCATCTATCACATATAAATACATATTGCGACATTTATGCATTTCAGATCTCTCTTATGTTTTGAAACTTTACTTGCTATTTTTTCATATCACTTCACATTATTAGTATTATTTCTTAGTGATTTCTTCCTCAGCACTGCAGCTGTCCTTTTGTTCTTTTATTTTTCTCTTTCATGGATGCCATGTTCTTTGGAAGCTGGTTTAGACCAAGTTCATGGCCTTTTAGGCTTCCTTCAGGGGAATAGTTCACCTTTTGAATGATAAGAATTACATGTCACAGGTGGGGCACCGGGATTTTAGAGATGCTTAGGCGGGTCATGGCCAACCGAGGAAGGGTGGGAACACTGATATGTCTTGTTTGAATTGTGGAAAATGCTGAAGGCAGCTCTTGAGGTAAACTGTCTCATTTCAGCCGGGGTAGAGCACAGCCTTTTCAAACCTTTAAGGCGTTTGGGCAAGGAAAGAATTTAAACTGTTTGACCTTAGTTTTTCCAGATACCAACAGAGACATGAATTCCCACCTGGAAAGGATCTTGATGCAGTTTTAATAAGATAAAGTGCCTAATGGAATAAAACAGTAGAAACTCAAAGATTATTGGTCTTTCCTGTCTTTTTTACTTCGTGTTTGGAATCAAATAGAGTTCTAAGATTTGGTTTCACTATTATACAACTTGAATTATTCTGAAGTTTTGGCTATTATTGTGTCTGAATTATTGAATGGTAAATGACAGGTACTAAGCCAAAAATATATAAAGTCCTAAAGTATATATTTTTATTACATTACCATCAAACCAAAATTTATTAGCTTTCCTTAATTAGATTAAGATATGACTTGTGTAATTATTGTGAGATTATTTTATTGTTATATTTAGTATAATTTGTCAGAGTTTAATTAGTTTTTAAGCTATGCATTATATGAATGCTCTTTTTCATAACACCACACACTTCTGGTTTTCTTCCTTCCCTTTGGCTTAGTCTCAGCTTCTTGTCCTGTGTACTTGACCCTGGAGATCTCATCAGCAGTCCTGGCTTTAATTGCCTTCACCAGGCCAAGTACAAACTTACATGTTCAGTCGGGACCATGTCACTGACCTCCCCATTTAGGTCTGTGACTTCCTACCTCACATCTCAAAATAAATGATCATCTAATAGGCCTCTCAAAATTAATGAACATACATGATTTCCACCCCCAGTTTATTCCTTCCCCTAGTCTTTCTCCAGGGACCCGCTGGAAATAATCATTGAAATGTAATAGATTTAGAAATTGAATAAAATTTATAGGTTGAACTCAAATGCTTAAGAAAAATTAGGTTTTTAATTCATCACTTTTAAGTTGCAAATTTATTGAAGTCGTGATAAATGCCAGTAGACGTTTCTGTGCCTGAGAACCTAAATGCATATCAAAGCACATTGCCCTCTTCTGATTGATTTCTTGTAACTTCGAATTAAGTTTATGGAGTCCGTAGCTAATCCTTGCTCTCGCTACTAAATTCTCAGGCTGGTGCAGGGTGAGCAGCTCAGGGCAGTCAAAAGATTTCCTTCTAGAGTTGCCTCTGTCTAGAAAAAGTAAACGAAGAATCCAGTGGCAAATGGACAGTGACCTCCACAATGAGCTAAGTTCATTTGGTGAGGGACGGATTAAACTCTTCAAGGAAAAAAGGAGTAATACTCTCCTGAGTAACCTGCTTTTCACTTTAATATTTTTGTTGTTTTTCTCGACTGTGAGCATATTTGCACGATTCTCAGGTGGGTTGCAGCTCTGTGAGCCCAGCTGTGGTCCCAGAGTCTGTGCCCTTGTGCCCAGGCTGCCACTTCTAAGGAATTAGCGATCAGTGTGAAGGGGCTTTTCGAAAAAAATAATGATGCTATTAAGTAAGAACAAGTAAGAATTTATGGAAGGTGTTTTTTTTTTTTTTTTTTTTTTTTAAATTTGTACTTTCAGTATTTTTTAGGCATTAATTCATTTGTATTAACTCTGTTAAATGTTAGGATATAGTAGTACTGTTTTCGTTACATCTTTACTGAGGTGGTAATATTTCTTATAAGAATTGTGTTTTGAGCCCTGGCTGGTTTGGCTCTGGATAGTACGATAGTCAGCCCTCATACTAAAGGGTCCTGGGTTTGATTATGCCAACGGCATGTACTTCTGTTGCAGAATCAAAATCCTGCCCCTAGTTGGGGTGTGTGCAGAAGGCAACCAATCAATGTATCTCATCAATGTTTCTCTTTTTCTCTGTCTCTCCCCCTTTTTTTCCACTCTCTAAAAATCAATGGAAAAATATGATAGAGTAGGGATTTTTTAAAAAATTGCTTTTTGAAGTAGGTCTTCGCATTATTATAAATAACTAGAGGCCTGGTGCATGAAATTCGTGCACTCAGAGGGTCCCTCAGCCTGGCCTGCATCCTCTTGCAATCTGGGAGTGTCTGACTATGGATATCTTTAGCATGGCTCTGCCTCTGCCATGGCACTCGCCAGCTGTGAGGTGTGAATTAATGCCTGAAAAATACTGAAAGTACAAATTTAAAAAAACAGGGCTTCTGGCTGAGCAGTGCCCCCCTGTGGGAATACACTGACCACCAGGATGCAGGCAGCTCCTACATTAAGTGTTTGCCCCCTGGTGGTCATTGCTCGTCATAGTGATTGGTAGTTCCATCCTTGGGTCGATTTGCATATTAGCCTTTTATTATCTATACTAATAAAAGGGTAATATGCTAATTAGAGTGGGTCGACAGGCCACCTTCCGGATGTCCGAATTCTGGACAAAGCCATGGTGATGGGGGCCGAGGTAGAGGCAGTTAGGAGTGATCAGACTAGCAGGGGAGAGAAGTTAGGGGCAAGATCAAGTTGGCAGGGGGTTAGGTGTGACCAGGCTGGTAGGGGAGGGCAGTTGGGGGCAACCAGGTTGGCAGGGAAGGGCAGTTGGGGGCACTAGGCAGGCAGGCAGGTGAGTGGTTAGGAGCCAGAGGTTCTGGATTGTGAGAGGGATGTCTGTCTGCTGGTTTCAGACATCCCCTGAGGGGTATCGGGTTGGAGATGGTGCAGGCTGGGCTGAGAGACAGTCCCCGCCCCTGTGTATGAATGTCATGCATCGGGCCTCTAGTATAGGGTAATATTGCATAACACTGAAATATTAACATTTTATCTGTTTCTCTTTAGTCCCTAGGAAAAGAGCTGGGTGGGAAACTGCATGTGCTCCACACTGATTTCTTCAAACTGGATCCTAGAAGTTTTGGAGTAATAAAACCTGTTGTGAATTCAAAGGTGCTTTTTCAAGAATTGGGAATAGAAACACTTCCTTGGTCAAACGGTAATTGTAATTTACTAAAACAAATAGCTTATAATTGGCCAGCTATCTCTCGCAGTGCACCTGCTTTGTTGATGAGATTTGTATGTAATATGTCCTGTACAATTTATGCTCACATGCTGTTAAGCTGATTTTTAAAAAACCTCATCCGAGGACATTTTTCCATTAACTAACTAACTAACTTACTTACTTACTTACTTATTTATTTATTTATTTATTTATTTATTTATTTATTTTTGAGAGAGAGAGTGGAAGAGAGAGGGAAAGACGGAGAGAAATATCAATGTGAGAGAAACATCGATTGGTTGCCTCCTGCATGCGCCCTGACCAGGGCCCAGGCCTGGGAGCAGCCTGCAGCTGAGTACATGTCCTTGATATATATAGTGGCTGCCCTATTTTATTCATCTTGACCAGAATCGAACCCAGGACCTTTGGGTTCGCAGGCTGATGCTCTAACACTGAGCCAAAGCGGCTAGGACTCTTAAGTTGACTATTGCTTTCCCATCACTTAGACACAAGTAATCTGAACAGTTATGCCAAGAGCAAGTTCATATCATGGAAACATTTTGAGGCCTAGTTTTAATTGAAACAAAATTTATCTAGTTTGTTAACTTAGTTTGACTCAACAAACTATAGTCACAGAAAAGAAAATGTTAAGAATTTATTCAAATATTCTTGCTTGTATACTTAACAGGTATCCCTTTGAAAGTCGTTGGAATCTTCCCAACTAAAAATGAGAAAAAGATGATTTGGAAAGTTTTACATGACATATATTCCTGTACTTCTATATATAGATATGGACGAGTACAGCTGAATTTGTTTTTTAATGAACTGGAATCCCAGGTAGGTTTCTCACAAGTACTGACTAATATTTTATCTTAAAAGAATTCTGTATTTTTTTCCTAGTCTTATTCTTTGTGATTTTATTTGGGGCTCATGACATAAATTTTACCATTTAACTATTTTTAAGTGTGCAGTTCAGTGGCATTAAGTTACCACCATCTATGTCTTCTCAGAACTTGTTCACCATTCCGTATTGGAGCTCTGTGCCCATTTAATGCCAACTCCACATTTTCCCCTTCCGTGAGCCCCAGATATTATTCTATCTACATTGTCTCTATGATTATTCTAGGAACTTCATATGGTTGGGATTATACAATATTTCATTTATTGTCTGAATTATTTCACTTAGTTATGTCTTTAGGGTTCATTCAAGTTGTAGCATGTGTTGGAATTTCATTCCTTTTTAAGACTGAATAATATTCCACTGTGTGTGTGTGTGTGTGTGTGTGTGTGTGTGTGTATACACACCATCTTTTGTTTATCCATTCATCTATAAATGGACACTTGGGTTGCTTCCACTTTGAGTCCCTGCTTTCAATTATTTTGGTTATATATGGAAAAGTGAAATTGCTGGATCATATGCTAATCCTATTTTTAATTTTTTGAGGAGCCACCATACTGTTTGTCATAGTGGCTGCCCTATTTTATACACCATCAGCAATGCACAAGTGTTCTAATTTCTCCACATTTCAACCCTTGTTGTTTTCTCTCTCTGTGTGTGTGTTTTTTTTTTAAATAATATCCATCGTAATGATTCAAAGTGGTACCTCATTGATGTTTTGAATTTCTGTTTTCCTAAATGATTAGTGATGATGAGCATCTTTTTTTGTGGTTACAGATAATTTGTATTTGGAGGAATTATCAGATTGTCTATTTTTTGGTTGTTGAGTTTTAGAGGTACTTACATACTCTTGATATTAATTCCTTCTACGGTATGTGATTTGCAAATATTTTCTCCTGTTTTATGTGATGCCTTTTTGCATTGTTATGGTATCTTTTTTTGAATATATTTTATTGATTTTTTTACAGAGAGGAAGAGAGAGGGATAGAGAGTTAGGAACATCGATGAGAGAGAATCATTGACCAGCTACCTCTTGCACACCCCCTACTGGGGATGTGCCCGCAACCAAGATACATGCTCTTGACTGGAATCAAACTCGGGACCCTTCAGTCCAAAGGCCGACGCTCTATCCATTGAGCCAAATCGGTTTCGGCTGTTATGGTATCTTTTGATTGAGTCCCAAAGTTTATAATTTTGGTGATGTCCAATTTGTCTTTTATCATTGTTGCTGCCTTTGCCTTGGTGTCATATCTTATTGCCTAATCTAATGTCATGAAGCTTTTCCCCTATGTTTTCTTCTAAGAGTTTTATAGTTTTAGCTCTTATATTCAGGTCTTTGATCCATTTTGAATTACCTTTTTTATATGATTTTACATAAGGGTCCAGCTTCATTCTTTTTCATAAGGACATGCAATTTTCCCAGCACTTTTGTTGAAACACTGACCTTATCCCATTAGTACTCTTGTTGAAAATCACTTGACCATGTGCATGAGGCCCTATTTCTGATCTGTTTTATTCCTTTGTTCTGTATGTTGGTCTTTATGCCAGTACCACACTGTTTTGATTACTGTAACTTTGTAGTAAGTTTTGAAATCAGGAATTGTGAGTCCTCTCGGTTTTTTCTTTTTAGAGATTGTTTATGCCATTTGGTGTCTCATGAGAGTCCAAATAAATTTTAGGGTGAATTTTTAATGTCTGTAAAAAGACATCTTTGGGATTTTGGTAGGGTTTGCATTCCGTCTGTTGATTACTTTTGTGGTATTGTTATCTTAACAATATTAAGTCTTTCAAACATTAATACCAGATGTCTTTTTATTTGTGTGTGTGTTTTTTTAATTTTAAATTTTTTTTTTTCAGTAATGTTTCAGTATAAGTGGAATTGTTTTCTTAATTTTCTGTTCAGATTGTTCATTGTTAGTGTATTGTGTATTGCTGATTTTTGTGTGTTGATTTTGTATCCTGCAATTTTGCCAAATTCCTTTATTCTAGCATTTTTTGTGTGTGGAATTTTTACGGTTGTAGACTCTACTTTTAATTCACTGATATAGAAGGTCCTTCTGAAGTCCTTGATGATAATATTTTCCTGCCCAGAATGCCTTTTGTTATTAATCTTTTAATCCACTGTAACGGGCGATATTTATTTGTATGGAACAGAGCTGTGGTTAGGATATTGGGGCAAGAAATGAAGGGATGCTTTATTGATCACTGACCATCTGTGGAGGAGAGTAGGGAGCAGGGTGAGCAGGGGGGGGTCTCAGGACTTTGAAGCTGTACATACAGTGTGCAGAAAAGGATAAAAGGAGGAGAAATGGAAAATGCCTTTTCAGTTTCCATTTTGTGCTAGAATGTCCAGATGCTTCTTTTACCGTGGATCTTTTCACACCAGGTTTCCTCTCTCTGCGCTATCTTTCAAGTGTCAATCTAAACAATCTTGACTCAAAATTTAATAGCCCACCTGGCACATATTTCTAACATACCTGTCCTTCTCCACAAAACATTTTTGTTGATTTTTTAAATGAGAATTTGTGATCTCCATTGTGTTCTATTTTAAGTGTCCAAGATATTATAGTTCACTATGAAAATTTTAAAGTCCTTGTCTTCTTTGAAATGGTTACAGTTAATATTTTATGTTCTATTTTTCTTTAATTTCTAGAGACTGTCAAGGTATTACTGTTGAGACAACATTTGGTTTTGATTGAGTGTAGTTTTGTGTAACAAGTGCCTTCTGTTTTCCTCCTCCCAGAGGATGATGGCGAACCCCCAGAACCCTAACCTGTACTACGCATTAAGTGTGCTCTGGCAAGTAGCTTATGACGTGAAGCTTCTGCATATGGTGAGTAGCCTTTGTGAATCTCAACAGGCCAGGGAAAAAAACAGGACACTAATAAAATAAAAAAACTTCAACAGGGCACTGGATTGTTTTCAGAGAGCTTACATGTTAGTGAACAGTGAATGGAGAAAAATTCAAGATCAATTTTATTATTTTTTCCAACTGTGGAATATGTTTTGTGTGTGTGTTTTTTTTTTAGTATGTTTATATTGATTTTTTAGAAAGAGGAAGGGAGACGGATAGAAACATTGATCAAAGAAACATCATTGATTGGCTGCCTCTTGCATGCCCCCTACTGGGGATCAAGCCAGAAATCCAGGCATGTGCTCTGACCGGAAATTGAACCCTGACCTTTTAGTTCATAGGTCGATGTTCAACCACTGAGCTACATTGGCTGGGCTGTGGAATATACTTTGTCCTGTTGTTTTTGTCAGAAATAGTTATGTTTTTCTTTGATTATAAAAATAATGTATATTCATTTTAAGACTGTAAGACATGTAAAAGAACAAAAGAGAAAAATAAAACAAAATCACCACAGTTCTACCATCCAGGTGTCACTATTGTTGACATTTGTGGCATTTTTTTACCTTTTCCATTATTTGTTTTCTTTATATAGTGAAGATTATATTATTTTGTATCTTATTTTTCCCCACTTAATAGCAAATACTTAATTATAAGTTTTTTCCCTTGTCACATAACTTTTTAAGTTTTTAATGGCAACTGTGACACTTCCTTATAGAGCATCCATGCCCCGTGTTGTTTTAGTTTATTTCCTTAGGCAAAATCAGAGTTGTATAATGTGAGCCACACATGAATTTTACATTTTTTAGTAGCCACATTATAACAAGTAAAAAAAAAAAAACAGGTAAATAATTTAAATTTTTTATTTAACCTTAATTCAAAATATCATTTTAGCGTGTAACCAATATTTTAGAATTTTTACATAATTTACATTGTGTGTGTGTGTGTGTTGTGTGTGTACGTGTGTATTAGGCCTTTGAAACCCACTGTGTATTTTATAGCATCTCAGTTCAAACTGGACTCCTTCTAAGTGTTCAGTGGCCCTTGTGGCTACCATATTTAATAGTCGTAGCCTACTCTGTAAGAAAAATTAATAAATGCTACTTTCACACCATAATCTGCACATTTTTATGTTAATAGATAGGGTGTAGAATAAGCATTTAAAAAAATATATATTTTATTGACTTTTTACAGAGAAGAAGGGAGAGGGATAGAGTTAGAAACATCGATGAGAGAGACATCGATCAGCTGCCTCTTGCACACCCCCGACTGGGGATGTGCCCGCAACCAAGGTACATGCCCTCGACTAGAATCAACCCTGGGACCTATGCTATATCCACTGAGTCAAACGGGTTTTGGCACAATAAACATATTTTATATAATACGTGTTTACATGTTTTATGAGCCCTCGTTCTTCCAAGGATTTAGTGGTTTAACTTACTTTGCAGCGTGTCTTCGTGGAGTCCCATCATTGATTTTGTCCCAGAAGACACAAAGTCCTTTAATGGGCATACTTAGTTGTTAGAAGATTATTTCGTTTGATTTTAGCTTTGATTTTTTTTTCCCCTCCAAAGCATCTGGGACTCTTTGACCACAGAGCACTAAAAGAAATGTTTTTGTTTAACTTCCCTCCAGGAACCTTGGTCATCATTTGACATAAGCAGTCAGAGTGCGCAGCAGGAAAAGCCACGGAGTAAGGTAATAAATGAATACTTTCCCTCTAAGTGGAACATCCTTGGTTTTCTTTAAGATTATCTGGCATTCTGTGTTTATTTAAATTTTAGAATATCTAGAAATGTTCTTTACACATATCTTGTTGCTTTTAATAAATTTAAATCACTTTGGAAAAGATTTGCATTTCTCAGCTATTTATACAGAGGATGCTAGCATGGTAATAGACCTATGCAGGATCTGACTTCCACTTTTATCTCTTTTTTATGAAGATACATCTCAAATTTGAAAAATGTAATCATTCTACTATCCATCTAATTTGGTAAACTAAAAACAAAATTTTATACTTTATTAATTAATCAGAAATTTGTAATAATGCTGTTGAAATGGTTGCATTTACTAACAGGTACATCTGTTTCTTACCCAGGAGATGGGCCTTTTATTATATTAGTTTTTTTTTTCCCTTCTAAAGAACCAAAGTCATGATGTTATAAAGTGATCTTCCATTTACTTTATATTAAGACTAGAGGCCTGGTGCAGGAAATTCATGCATGGAGGGAGCGTGGGGATGGATAGGAGGGATGTCCTTCATCCCAGCCTGCATCCTCTTCAATCTGAGATCCCTTGAGGGATGTCCGATTGCCTGTTTAGGCCTGATCTCAGTCGGACATCCCTCTCATAATCCAGGCCTGCTGGCTCCCAACTGCTCGCCTATCTGCCTGTCTGATTGCCCTCTAACTGCTTCTGCCTGCCAGCCTGATCAACTCGTACCACTCCTCTGCAGGCCTGATCACCCTCAACTGCCCTCCCCTGCAGGCCTGGTCCCTCCCAACTGCCTTTCCCTGCAGGCCTGGTCTCCCTTGACTATCCTCCCCTACCAGCCTGGTCTCCCTTAATTGCCCTTCCCCGCTGGCCTGGTCGTCCTTGACTATCCTCCCTTTCCGGCCTGATAGCCTCCAACTGCTCTCCCTTGCAGGCCTGATCCCTCCTGACTGTCCTCCCCTGCTGGCCTTATTGCTCACAACTGCCCTCCCCTGCTGGCCATCTTGTCCCCACAAGGGGGCAGCTATGTTGTGTGTTAGAGATTAAAATGAAAACGTGCCCTGGGGAATGGAACATGCCACCTTGTCATGTACAGTTTTGTGACAAACAGTAAGCAAGCCTGCTTTGGTCCTCGAGAGGTTCCTCACCCCTCACAGTGGCTCACTGCAGCCCTTGAGAACTGGCCCAGGGAAAGAGCGCTTAGGGCCTTGCATTCTTGGCAGAGCTGTGAGAATTGTTCAAGGGGCTGAGGCGGCCCCATGCGGACTGAAAGGGTTCGATTCCAGTCAAGGGCATGTACCTTGGTTGCATCACCCCCGTGGGTTACTGCCTCATCACCCGTGGGGGTGATGCAAGAGGCAGCTGATGGATGATTCTCTCTCATCGATGTTTCTAACTCTATCCCTCTCTCTTCCTCTCTGTAAAAAATCAATAAAATATATTAAAAAAAAAAAAAAAAAGAATTGCTCAAGGGGGACATTTAGGGTTTGGCGGTTGAATGAGTAAGTGAACCATGCCTTGCTCTGGCAATATTTTATAACTAACACAATTTATTTTTCCTCCTTTCCAGGAATCATCAGAACAGCAAGTACAACAAAACCTGTGTCTTATTCAATTGACTCCTCATAAAGATTTATTTTCACAACAGTTAACATCTGTTAACTACGATGTATTTTTTCACATGACGAAGCAGTGTTTTTTGAAGCGCCATGGCAAGCTAATTGACCACTTAACGTAAGTAACACGTATAAAAGCAAGTGATAAAGTAGCAATTTAATGAGAATTATACTTTCATGTTCGAGGTCCAATTTTTTTATTTTTTGTATCTTGATTAACAGAGTGAGGTACCCTGTTTTCACTCATCTGTTTCTCCAAAATACTTCCTCCTGCCTGGCACACATTTTGAGAAAAGTATAATTATATTTTCCATGAAATCTCCTGAGTTATTTTTTTCCTTCTTGGATTAACCTTCATGAAGAAGGAGTTGCTTGCCACTGGCTGGGATGGAGAAAGTTGGCATGATTGGTGGCATACCCACCACCTATCAATACTTTGGCATTGCCTGTATTATATGTATATATATTACATATAATATATATAAATATTTCAGACAGGAAGGGAAGGGGGATAGAGATATAGAAATATCAGTGATGAGAAAGAATCATTGATCGGCTGCCTTTTGCATGCCCCCTACTGGGGATCGAGCACACAACCTGGGCACGTGCCCTTGATTGGAATTGAACCTGGAACCCTTTAGTCCACAGTCTGACAATCTATTCTCTGAGCCAAACCAGCTGGGGCTACATTGCCTGTTCTTATTGGTCCCATTTCCTAACCAGAGTAGGGATGGATCATTGTACCACCCTGATTTCCTTGCCCTGAACCAAAATTTTTATTTCTATGTAAAGCTTGGTAAAAAGAGTTACTGCCTCATTTGTATCCACCGAAGTGTAATCTTCATATAGGGCTGATGTGAACAGTTTTGAGAATTATGCATTACATCTTGTAACCAGCAGCCCATGTTCATTTCAGAGTATTGTCAGGATGAGCAAAGGTTAATAATTATTTAAATTAATTTGATCACAAATACCAACACATTTAATTAATTTGATCATCATTAAATATGTAACTGAATAAGCTGTTAATTGAACAAAATTTATGTTAAAATAAACATTAAAAATGATAATAGACCAGTAAAAATAATCCACTATTTTTTTATCTTGTCCCCTTCCGGTAATGGTTGTCTGGGGGGGATGAAGGAATAGGATGGAGGGGGATCAGTGGGGAACAAATGGGGGAAAACTATAATACTTTAAACAATAAAGATAAAAATCAATAAAGTCAATCATCTAGCCACACTCACCAAATACATATACTAGAGGCCCAACGCATGAGTTTCATGCAAGGAGCTCCACCCTCGCAGCTACTGTGGCTTGCCTCAGCCTTCACTGCCGCAGCAGCTTTCCTTAGCCCTCGCAGCCCCGGCTTTGTACGGAAGGTCGTCTGGCTGTCTGGTCTAATTAGCATATTATGCTTTTATATATATATATATATATATATATATATATATATATATATATATATATATATGTATGTATATGTATATGTATATGTATATGTATATGAAATTAAGGAACAAATATGGTAAACTGTGGTGCTAAATGTTCAAAATTCCCTTTGAGATCTCTGTGAATTGAAAGCATATTTCCATCTGTGATGATTCCATTCAAAATGAAAAAGTATTGGAAATATTTTCTGCCAAAATATTTTATTGCAGTTGTTTATCTTTTAGTGTCAGAGATTCAATGATGGTTTCTTGATAGGCTACTACATAAGGCAGTTTTCTGCTTTCTATTTATCAGTAATCTATAAATGTAAAAGGCTAATGTGCTACGTGTCCATCCAGGTAATGATGTCACGAACCAACACCTGGCTTCCTCTCCATAGCAACGACTAGCCTTCTTGCAATTTCTTCAGTCCAGGAACACGACTTGCTTTATAAAACTGGGTGGAAACATTTCACACTTTAACCACATGTCTGTGAAGCATTTTCCCTGCCTCATCTCATTTGATCCTCACAGAAGTCCTGAAATAGGAGACTTGGTGGAATCCTATTTTCTTTTCATTAGCTGGAAAACAGATTTAGAAAATTTAGAAACTTGACCCAACTGAAAAGAAGTAAGAAATGATGGACCTTGAAAATGACTTCAGGTTTTCTCACTGCACAGAATAGTCAAACACTGCTGCAATTCAATATTTTACCCTTTGTTCTCCCTGCATGATCTATAATAATTATCTGCTTCGTGTTGATATTTACTGCTGTGTTGCTGACAATTATCTGAAAAAGAAGTTGAGCCAAAACCGGTTTGGCTCAGTGGATAGAGCTTCGGTCTGCAGACTGAAAGGTCCCAGGTTCGATTCCGGTCAAGGGCATGTACATTGGTTGCGCGCACATCCCCAGTGGGGGGTGTGCAGGAGGCAGCTGGTCGATGATTCTTTCTCATCGATGTTTCTATCTATCCCTCTCCCTTTCTCTCTGTGAAAAATCAATAAAATATATTTAAAAAAAGAAAAAAAAAAATCCATTCTTTTTTTTAAAAAAAAAAGAAGAAGAAGTTGGGGTGTTTCACTGGGCTGGAAAAAGTTTAGCTAAATCAGAAAGCAGGTCTAATTAAGCAAGTTTATTCTATATATATAAAAGACTAAGTTGACTTGCGTATGTGTGATACATATAAAGCTCTTGCTAATGCCAATCACACACATGTGTTTCCATCTGTCATTGTTGATCGTGAATTTGGTTGACACTTCTATAGAGAAAGGGCAGATAGCGATATTAAAATATTTCTTCTTCTAGTTAATTTTCTTTCAGTGTGCATGAATTCTTGCACCAGGTCACTAAGTTTTATTTAAATATATATATATTTTATTGATTTTTTTTACAGAGAGGAAGGGAGGGGGATAGAGAGCTAGAAACATCAATGAGAGAGAAATATCAACCAGCTGCCTCCTGCACACCGCCTACCAGGGATGTGCCCACAACTAATGTACATGCCCTTGACCGGAATCGAACCTGGGACCTTTCAGTCCGCAGGCCAATGCTCTATCCACTGAGCCAAACCAGTTTCCGCGGGACCACTAGGTTTTAAATAAGAATGTGAAAGTTTATTCCCTTTAAAACTGCCAGACAGCAGAATTTTACATCAAGTCAAATGGAGTTAAAAATATTTTTGAAAAGAAAGTTAAAGGATGAAAGAGGTAGAAAAGGATTTTTTAATTGTTAAACTGGAATTTTGTGTAGGAATTGATTAGAACATGTTAACACCTATATCTTCCATGAAACTTTAGGAATAAACATAGTTAAAGCTATGTATCATATGCAAGCTCTTAAACTAAATAAGGTTAATTACATATAATAAGATAGACATTTTAAATTGGGGTTGGAAGGCATTTTTACTCTATATTAACTGATAGTTGTTATGAAAAAGATTTAACAGTTTACTTTGAATTTTTTTTTTTTTTTGCAGTTCATTGAGTCCAATTGATGCAATGGACATATTGAAGGAAATGGATCAAGATAAAAATATAAAAATAATAGACATGTATCCTTCAGACTTTAAATGCCTTTTTGAAACTATAGAATGTTCCAAAGATCACACCTTTAAGTGGCTGTATGATGACTTCATGGAAGATGTAATCATATAAGAAACTGGACTGCCAAGAGAGCGGCTGGAGCTGTTTATTTTATTTGGAAATTATAAAGCAATTGAAAAAGAACTAAGTTTTTAAAGCTCACAGTGTTTCAACGGAAGGTACCTAACTGTTCTTGTTTTTCACAAACAAGGCAGATAATTTCTTCCGAAATTGATACCATTAGTGCATTGGATAAAACAATGGCTGCTATTTTATTTACAACTGAATAAAATGAAAACTTCACTTAATTGTGGATTTGGTCAACTTCGATTTGTTTGTTTTAAATTCCTATCTACTGTCAACATACCAGTAGTTGTATGGAATTACCAGATGAAATTTACTTTTAAAGATCCCGTTAGTCAAATACATTGCATTATTTTAAATATTCCACTTTCACTGTTGATTTTTGCATCCTCTGGGGGCAAAGTGTCCATTTTTAAAATGAGAAAGTAAATGAAACTGATTTGTTTTACTCTTCAGTTTGTTAAAAGAATTAACAAATACTGTGCAATTACATTAATTTTAAAATGGTTTGCACTTTTTAGAAATGAAAATATTTTAAATAAGATTTTATGATTTTTTTTTTTTATGGTTGTTTCAAATGAAACAAAGTTAACCCTAACTTATTCATTTTAAATTCCATCATGTATGGTCAATGTACATTCAATAAATAATTCAGATTGTTATTAAAAGTCTCTTGCATTTTTGTTCTATCAAGAAAGTTTATCTGAACTTAGACCTTTACTACATGAACCTAAATGAAATTAAGAATATTTTCTTGCCCTAACCAATTTGGATAGAGTGTCAGCTTGCTGACTCAGGGGTCCCAGGTTCGATTCTGGTCAAGGACATGTACCTTGGTTGCGGGCACATACCCAGTAGGGAGTGTGTAGGCTGATGTATGTTTCTCTCTCATTGATGTTTGTAACTCTATTTCCCTCCCTTTTTCTCTGTAAAAAAATCAATAAAGTAAATTTTTTTAGAAAAGAAGAAAGAATATTTTCTTAACTGGTTTGGCTCAGTGGATAGAGCTTCGGCCTGCAAACTGAAAGGCCCTGGGTTCAATTCCAGTCAAGGGCACATGCCTGAGTTGTGGGCTCAATCCCCAGTGGGGAGCATGCAGGAGGCAGCCAATCCATGATTCTCTCTCATTGATGTTTTGATCTCTCCTCTCCCTTTTCCTCTCTAAAATCAATAATATATATGTGTGTGTGTATATATATATATATATATATATATATATATTTTTTTTTTTTTTTTTTTTTCCTTTTAGAGGAATATTTTCTTAGGTCATAGAAGTAGCTACTTTCTTTCATCTGAGACATATAATCTAAATTAGAGTTGTTAGCATATTACTAAGTAACTCTTTGTAGGGTATATTCTGAACACTTAGCCAAACCACTTCTTCCCAACTTCTCTACTATTGTCATTGGTTTACAAATCAATCTGGCTGGAAACTAAATCCTATTTTCCTCTTAAAATTCCTGCTATTACATAATCTGCCTAATCTTCATAATGTCATTCAGTCTTCCTCCTCACTGTTTCTTTCCTAGTCTTGTTCTTTAAGTCTAAATTTGTTACTAGCTTAGAAGAATGTCGGCTGAGAAACATTTTAAATGTATTTCAGAGGTATTACCTGATGGCTTTTAGGAAACTGAATTGGATCCAAACACCCCAGAAGCACATTTTCCTCTTAGCCTACATAAAAGGAATTGAGTATAGGTTCTAATATAAATACATGCCGGGGTTAAAACATGAATTAATGGCTTACAAGTGGTACATGCTCTCATCGATATCAGGCAGTGTCACTTCAGACAAATGGAAGAGGCTGAAACCAGTTTGGCTCAGTGCATAGAACATCGGACTGAAAAGTCTCAGGTTCGATTCCGGTCAAGGGCATGTACCTTGGTTGCGGGCACATCCCCATTGGGTTGTGTGCAGGAGGCAGCTGATGGATATTTCTCTCTCATCAATGTTTCTAACTCTCATCTCTCTCCCTCTCTGTAAAAAATCAATAAATTAAAAAAAAATGACAGATTTGCTAACTGTTGTGGGAGTTGAGGGATAATACAGAGGCTCTAGCTAAGGATGGAAACCAAATTTATAGTGGTTTCTATACTATTGTGTCATTTTAGGACTGGAGCAATAGAGCATGTGGATGGTTAGAGGAATGAAAGTTGTGTATTAAGATGAGAAATTAGTCTGATGGTGTCAGGTGTAATGGCAGTAGGGCGTGGCCATGTCTGCTGGTCAGAGCCTAGTTGACTGATATCTGCAGCTTCACTTGGCTTGTGCCAAGGCAGCACCTCCTACAGGCTGTTCCAGGCCACGATTCGGCATGGCGCAGGCCGGCCCCTGGCACGAAAGAAAAGGTTCCTCTTGAAGTTGTGGACCTAATTCCAAGTTTAATGCCAAACAGCAAACCGTTTCTCGTGGTCCGGTGACACACACAACTTCGGCTCAAGAACTCCCTCCCTCGTGTCCTGGCTAAACCTTTGTTGGAATTTGCTGTGGTCCAGAACGTCCTATCCAGTCTTCCTTCCCTTTCTCCTCCCAGAGTCCTGCCGTCACAGCCTGAGGTACATCATGCCTTCTGCCCCCTTCTCTGAAAACCTTTTACGGTCTAATCTTGTCTTAGCATCCGCTTCTCTGCAGACCTGAACGAACACAGGAGTCATGGCATGTGAAAGTAACAAGAAGAAAATGGTTGAAATAAAAGTGTTAGAAAACCAGTTGTATGCCATGAAGACTCTGGTATTGAGATACCAGAGGTAGCCAGTTGTGTGGCTCACTGGTTGACATGCACCCATGAACCAGGATATCACCATTGGATTCCCAGGTTTCAGGCTTGATCCCCAGTAGGGGGCATGCAGGAAGCAGCCAGTGGATAATTCTCTTTCATTGATGTTTCCTTTTCTTCCTTTCTCTAAAATCAATCAATAAATATCCCCTTGGGGAGGATAAGGGCACATATATAATACCTTTATAAAGAAAAAAAGTAGATATTAGAGGTGGAGTGATTCCTGGTGATGACAAGTTGCAGGTCTAGTAGCAAGCAATTCACAGGCAATTAAAAAGATTTTGCCCAAGGCCCTTTTATTTTTGCTGATGGCGAGAATAAAAGATGCTCACTCGTCTTTCTGAACCTCCCAGAACCCGAAGAGCTTGGCAGAATGATCAAATGGAATATTGGGGACACTGTCCGGTATCTCTGAACAAAAAGTTTTCCCTAGAAGTGTGAAATAGCTGCCCATACAATTAGCTGTAGGTAAGATAGTGGTGACCAAAGATGGTGGGAGAGTGAAGACCTTGCAATATTACAACAGGAGACTCAGTGGCATTTAAGGTTCTTTTTATGTCTTTGTTTTTGGAATATTAATAACTTTGCAATAAGAAAATACTGTAGATGTTTTTCTCTAGGATTTATAAGAATACAGTAGTATGCAAATTCAGGAAGTGATTGGTACCCAAACAGGAATGCATCAGTAAGGTGAACAAAAAACGTTCTGTGTTACAGACTATTACCATTTGTTCCCTCATCACTAAATTGTAGGATGGCACTTAGCAGGTTATCTGGGCCTTGGGTTTGCATGTGTAAAATGAAAAGGATTTAACAACGTGGCTTTACCTGTGGTATTATCAGAAGACCATCTCTCTCCTTTTAAAAAAAATATATATATATTTTATTGATTTTTTTTTACAGAGAGGAAGGGAGAGAGATAGTTAGAAACATCGATCAGCTGCCTCCTGCACACCCCCCCCCCCCCCCACTGGGGATGTGCAACCAAGGTACATGCCTTTGACTGTAATCAAACCTTTTAGTCCACAGGCCAACACTCTATCCACTGAGCCAAACCGGTTTTGGCTAGAGCATCTCTTATAAGGAAGAAAATAGCTCCTTTGTCCACCACATAAGGAAAATCTGGAGAATGAAGTCAACAGAGAAAGCAGAGCTAACACGAAGTAGGCAGACCATTCTGCTAACAGGTAAGCCCCTGGCTTCAACCATACCTGAAGCCACATACACGTCCAAAGCAAGCAAATGCCGAAGCCAGTCAATTTTCTTTTTTTTTTTGTTAAAATTAATTTCGGATGGAATTCTATCACTTTCAAGCAAGAATCCTAATAAAAATACTGTCTTAGTGGCACTCGTCAATAGCTTCCGAAACCTACATTGCCACAGGGACTCTTCTGCATCTAACCACTAAAAATTGGCACACTCCTGAAATGATGACATTAGTGACCTCCAAGCCATAAGCATGGATCTTTGGATTAATAAAACAAGAAAGGTTTTTGTTGTTGATGTTGTTGCTGTTCTTTATAACCCATCAGTATATTATTTATACCATTCTAAGGCTTGAATAGCAATGCTAGTTATCTGGTGAGACATGATAGACTTTTGTTATTAATCCTCACCCAAGGATATTTTTCCATTGATTTTTAGGGAGAGTGGAAGAGAGAGAGAAAGAGCGAGAAACATCGATGTGAGGGAAACAATTCAATTGGTTGCATCATGCAGGAGCCCTGACTAGGGCCCAAGCCAGGGAGGAGCCTGCAACCGAGGTACATGCCCTTGACTGGAATTGAACCTGGGACCCTTTGGTCTGCAGTCCGACACTCTAGGCATGATAGACTTTTAAAATAATCCAGTAATTCTTGATTAAATTTCATTTGGTTTATTACTAAAACTGCTGGGTAATTCTGTATTAAACATTTATAGCTACAGTTTAATTTACTTCTTGCTAATAAAATAGTGTGTTAGACTTTCAATTAGAGTTTATGGGGAATTGAGCACAACATCCTATGTTCTTTATGGTTTTAATCTGCTCATTAAAAGCAAGGATATAAAAATAATGGAACAAATAGGGTGAGAAAGCATTGCTTTTTCTATGTTTTTAAAATTCAATTTAGATTTTTGATGAAAGCTAATTGTAAAGCCAGTTAATAAGGATTTTCACTGGAAACATCAAATCTTCACCAAGACTTGGAGATAGTTTCAGGATTTATGGATAGAAATCTCTACTCCATATGTCATGAACTCTCATACCATCATCCAGTTCTCTTTAAATTTCTTCCCCTGGCTGGTATGGCTCAGTGTTGAACGTGGACCCCTGAACCAAGAGGTCTCAGGTTCCATTCTGGGTCAGGGCACATGTCCAGGATGCAGGCTCAATCCCCAGGAGGCAGCCAATCGACGGTTTCTCATCAAAGTTTCTATCTCTCTATTTCTCTCCTTTTCCCTCTCGAAAAAGAATAAGAACAAGCTTCTGGACTCTTTAAAAAAAAAAAAAAATATATATATATATATATATATATTTTATTGATTTTTTACAGAGAGGAGGAGAGAGGGATAGAGAACTAGAAACATCGATGAGAGAGAATCATCGATCAGCTGCCTCTTGTACACCCCCCACTGGGGATGTGCCCGCAACCAAGGTACATGCCCTTGACCGGAATAGAACCTGGGACCTTAGAGTCCGCAGGCTGAGGCTCTACCACTGAGCCAAACCGGTTTCGGCAAGCCTCTGGGCTCTTAACATTTATAGGAAATAGAGGGACATGTTAACACCATGAGAAAACAACTAGACAAATACAGACTGTAGAACATTTTACTAGAATCCTAGCATGGGCTCTTTAAGAGTCAATGTAAAAAAAAGTCAATGTCATGAAAGAGAAAATGTAACTTTGATTGGATCCTGGTTTTTGAAGAAAAGTTACTGTTGGGAGCTGCCCATTGCCCTCACCAGCAGAGAGGTGTGGACAAGGAACCCGGAAGGCTGGTCAGCCTTGAGGCTCTGGCAAGGGTCAGAGCCACACACCCACTGTCTGGTGGAGACAAAGGGATTTAAAGCAACTTCCACCTTTTAGTCTTCTGTAATGGGCTATCATCGAGCTATTATTGGAATTATCTGCTCAAGGGCTATAGGTGGATCCCAAACCTGAATAAAAGGGATCGATCGCAAGGCCAGAGTAAAGCCAAGTCCTCTCTTGGGCTTTCCCTTGACCCCCAATTCCCAAATTAATATTTTCTTGTCTAGTCTTTTTCATCTGTGCAGCCTCCTCCAGAGCCCGAACCCTGAACCACATGGGACATGGGGGGTACACTCGTAAGTTACAAAAGCTAATCTTAAAGTGAATGTGGATTTTGCTTGCTAGTTCAGAATATGTGATAATGACTTTGAAGTTTTATAGGATATTGTTCTTATTCTGAGGAAATGCATGTGACAGTAATTATGAAATATTATGCACAACAAATGTCACCAACAAGCGAATGAAGAAACAAATTACAGAATAGTACCTGACACAAAGGACATATTTCTGAGATATGCAACAACACTCCACACACCTCTGTCACTAGAAACTCCTTGAGATCAGGATCTGTTTCCTCTTTTTCATTATATTCCCAGTGCCTCGAAGGGAGCCTGACATACAGTAGGTCCCAGTAATTATTTGTTGAATAAAGGAATGTTACTACTTTACACACACACACACACACACACACACACACACACACACACACACAATATTATGATGTAAAATATTAGTCATGAGAAGTTATGTCTGCAACTTACATTTATCTATCTATCTATACTAATAAAAGGCTAATATGCTAATTAGACCTGTTGACTGGACATCTTCCAAAAGTCCAACTTTCTCCTGGACAAAGCCACAGTGGGAGCCAAGGCAGAGGCAGATAAGTGCAATCTGGCTGGCAGGGGAGGGCAGTTAGGGGCAATCAGGAAGGCAGGCAGGTGAGTGCTAAGAAGCCTGCAATCCCAGATTGTGAGAGGGATGTCTGACTGCCCCCAAGGGGTCCCAGATTGGAGAAGGTACAGGCCAGGCTGAGGGACATCCCTTTCCCCCTGCATGAATTTCATGCACTGGGCCTCCCTTTAATCTGTTTATAACGTGTGACTCCTTGCAAAGCCCTTTGGAGACCTGTGCTTAGTGCTTTAATGCTCAGGTTCATGAAGGATTCTAAACGGAGTCATCAGTCTGTAGTTTTTTAAAAACATATTTTTATGGACTTCAGAGAGGAAGGGAGAGGGAAAGAGAGATAGAAACATCAACAATGAGAGAGAATAATTGATCTGCTGCCTCCTGCACCCCCACACTGGGGAGTCAGCCTGCAACCTGGCGGGTGAATCTAACTAACAGTGATCTCCTGGTTCATAGGTCAATGCTCAGCCAGCCTGGCTGCAACTTTTAAGTGATGCAAAAACACAACTTTCAAATGGTTCCACAAGAGTTACACACACACACACACACACACACACACACACACACACACACACACCTGCATACACATGGAGAATGGGCAGCAATGGTAAGATACCAAGAATTGTTTGATCTAGGTGGAGGGTACGATGCTGTTCATTTTGTTGTTTGATGCTATTCATTTCGTACGCGGCAACGGGCTACTTCCCCTCTGCATTAAAACCGTCTGCAAGAAAATACTGCAGGTAGAAAAAATAGAGAGAAAAAAGAAAAGAAAAGAAAATACACTGGCAAAAACACCACCTCGCCTCGATGAGTTGCCCGGGACTCCTGCAGCCCCGCCAGCCGGACGGTCCGCTCCTCCGCCACCCGTGCGTCTCCGCAGCGTCTGCGCATGCTCCGAGGCCGCTCCCGCCCCGCCCCGCCCCGCCCCGCCCCGCGGCGTACGCTGCGCGCAGTGCGCAGGCGCGCGGCTCCCGGCGGCCCGCGAGGAACCGGCCGTCGGACGCGCCGCCGCGTGAGGCGCTGAGGTGCCCAGGACGGAGCCGCCGGGGACGGAGCCGCCGGGGACGGAGCCGCCGGGGACGGAGCCGCCGGGGATGGAGCCGCCGAAGGTGGAAAAGTTCAGCTCCGCCGCCCGCGGCAACGGGCTGCGCGCTGTGGCGCCGCTGCGCCCGGGGGAGCTGCTGCTCCGCTCGGACCCCCTGGCGTACACCGTGAGCAAGCGGAGCCGCGGAGCCGTCTGCGACCGCTGCCTCCTCGGGTGCGTACGGGGCGCCCCCCGCAGCCCCCTCAGGCCGGCCGGGGCCGCCGGGCGCCCAGCCCCGAACTTCTCTGCGAGCGCGGCTCCCGGCGCGCGGCTGACTGACGGCCGCGGCGGCCCCCCCCCGGGCTGCCCGCCGGAGTGGGCGCGCCCCGCGCCGTCCCGGCCGCGCTGCGGGCGGGGCTGGACCGCGGACACCGGCCCGGGGCGCGGCGGGCATCGGGGGGCAGAGGGAGCCGACCTGAGGGAGGCGCGGGGTCTGGGGTGATCTCCCTGAGGAACAAAAAGTCCGCGTCCGGTCCACCAGCGTCTCGAGCCACAGCCGGCGGGGTGCGTGGTGCGTGGTGCGGGACGGGGTGCGGGGACGAGGAGCGGGGTGCAGGGACAGGGTGCGTGGTGCGGGACGGGGTGCGGGGACGAGGAGCGGGGTGCAGGGACGGTGCGTGGTGCGGGACGGGGTGCGGGGACAAGGAGCGGGGTGCAGGGATGGGTTGCGGGGTGCGGGCACGGGGTGCGGGGTGCAGGGGGCGGGGACGGGGTGCAGGGGGCGGGGTGCGGGGGATCAGGTGCTGAGACAGGGACAGGGTGCGGGGACGGGGTGCAGGGTGCAGGGACAGAGTGTGGGGATGGGGTGCGGGGGACGGGGAATGGGGTGCAGAGTGCGGGGTGCAGAGATGGGGATGAGGTACGGGGTGCGGGGTGAAGGGATGGGGTGCGGAGACAGGGACGGGGTGCGGGATGCAGGGACGGGGTTCGGGGTGCGGGGTGTAGGGACGGGGTGCTGAGACGGGGACGGGGTGCGGGGTGCACGGTGCGGAGTGCAGGGTGCAGGGTGCGGGGGAGCAGCGATGGTAAAACCAGGCTCAGCTGCTGAGAGGACCTGGGTGCAGGAGGCGGAAGAGTGTTGGAGTTTCGGGGACACTTTCTGGGGTGCAGCCTGTTTCGCCTGCAGCTGCGTGGGGCATTCTTGGGGATGCTCAAGGAGCAAACAGGCCAGAGACGGCATGGATGTCAGTGCATCCGGAGTGCTGACACGGACCCGCAGCCCTCTGGGCCTGAGCCCGGATCACCCTGTGCTTTGCGTTTCGAGGCCGTTCCCGCAGGTCTAACGAGATGCGGGAATTCAAGCGAAAGTGTTTCCTAAGCCTGGGAGCGCTGGGCCGACTCAGAGTGTTATGCGAAAGCGATTTATGGAGATATGCAATATGCATGCACAGTCACAGGCACTGTGTGTGAGCCACAACTGCCAAGGAGCCACAACTCCATGCTGGGTCCCTCGGTTCTCTTTCCTGTCACCGCTCTCAGACCCATTAGCTTGGGAGCTGGGTGCATGGGGGTGAGGCGGTAAGTGCAAAGCTCAAATCAGATGCTTGACCAGTAATCTCTTTATTTATTTATTTATTTATTTATTTATTTATTTATTTATTTATTTATTATTTTTTAAAATATATTTTATTGATTTTGTACAGAGAGGAAGGGAGAGAGATATAGAGCTAGAAACATCGATGAGAGAGAGTCATCGATCAGCTGCCTCTTGCACACCCCCTTCTGGGGATGTGCCCGCAACCAAGGTACATGCCCTTGACCGGAATCGAACTCGGGTCCCTTCAGTCCCCAAGCCGACGCTCTATCCATTGAGCCAAACCGGTTTCGGCTCTTTCTTTCTTTATTTTTAAAGCAGGGTTTTAAAATTTTACTCGTTAATTTTTTAATCCTCACCCGGGGATATTTTTCCATAGATTTTTAGAGAGACTGGAAGGGAGTGGGGAGACAGAAACACATGGATTGGTAGAGGTAGAGGTAGAGGTACATGCCCCTGACCAGAATCCAACCCTTCCGTCTGCAGGCCGAGGCTCTATCCACTGAGCACAGCGGCGAGGGCTTGGCCATTGCTCCTACTATGTCTTCATAATTGAGAAATTTAATTTTGTATTTTAAAGTTAACAAATAATAAGTTTTATCTGTTGTTTCCTGAAGTAGCCACAACAGCAGCAGCAACAACAAAATCTATTGAGAGAACGATTTGAAACTTTTGTAAACTGTGTAGTTGAAAACCAGTCATTTCTCCCAAGACTTGCCTTTTTAAAAAAAATATATGTTTTATTGATGTTTTACAGAGAGGAATAGAGAGGTAGAAATATCGATGAGAGAGAATCATCGACCAGCTGCCTCTTGTACTCCCTCTACTAGGGATATGCCTGCAACCAAGGTACATGCCCTTGACCAGAATCGAACCCGGGACCCTTCAGTCCACAGGCCGACGCTCTATCCACTGAGCCAAAATGGTTTTGGCAAGACTTGCCTTTTTGCCGAAGTTCCCCACATCGACAGCCAAGCAAATTCCAGAAAGCTGGGCTCTTTATCCTCTTAAATCCTCTGGGGTTGTACCTGCAGTTCGAACTGCATGCAGACCAAAGGAGAGAACTCACTGTTTCTTAATTCCTCCGGGGTTACTTGATGACGAAGATGTGGGTCATCTTGGAGATAATAGTTGGAATAGAAAAGCTCTGGAATGAATACTCAATAAATGACAAATTGCTCAATAAATTATCAGAGCTCGACTTAGTCATAAAACACATGGCATTGTCCATTTTCCAAAACTGACCACAAACCAAACCATCGGTGGGTGGGATGCTTCTTAATTTATCATGTTCACTGTTGCTGACTATCACTCATTTTTCTTATTAGCCAGAATTGTAATGATTTAAGCCAAAAAAAAAAAAGAAAAAAGAAAAAGGAATTTTATGGAAAAATACTGAGGCATTCTCAGCATTGCTTTAAAGCTTGAAAATGGGCAGAAATCAAGGAAAGTTCCAGTCAGAATTGCGCGTGAGAAGTGGTTGAGGCCGGGGCCTGGGAGTCCATTGCGGATGCTGTGGGGTAATCCTGGGCTCTGCAGCATGTCTCCCACTCCATGGCCCTGGGCCTGTGCTGCTCTTGCGGCCGCTGCCTCTGCTGCTGCTTGGGAACTAGCTATGCTGCAAAGCTGCTTTCTCAGCCAGGCTCTTTGTGATACCGGCTTCTGAGTCCGAGGCCTCAGTGGGTGTCTTAGCAAGGCAAGTTGAGGAAGTGAGTATCAGGGCTTTTTGGCTTTAAGAAAGGAGACAGGCTCTCCTTCCCACCAATATTCACCTGGTGGGAAAATCATCAAACCTAAATGTAGGAAAAGGGATAGAAGTAAATGCTGAGCATCCAAACAAAAGAAACTGAAACAAACAAATGGCTTTTTCTATACTGACTAGCAAACACTTGTGTATCAGTGCTGTGCACACGCCGATTATATTTACGCCTTTTTTGCACTTCTTTTGGATTGCTAGGCTGTACTTCACTTGTGCTAGAAAGGAATCCAGCACACCTGCTGTGGCAGGAGGCCTTCTGTTGAACTCTTCCTCTTCCCTGGTGGTATTTCCAAAGTGCTCAGGGGGGAATCACTGCAGCCTGGAAATACTGGATATACTGTTAGAGAAATAAAAGTTCAATGCATTGGTGCGTGCAATTCTAATAACCTTATTACTAGTCTGTCATTATAAGGTGTGCTCCTTATCACCTTGTATGTAAAATTTGTCTCTTTATCCATCATCAGTTTTGAAATTCTTGAGAGCAGAGATTGCATCTTGTGGTGTTTGTAGCCCTGATGCCTGGCACTTAGTAAGCTCTTAGTTACTAGTGTGCAAGTCTGGCAGAATTGCTCTCAGCTGTCCTTGCCCTTCTGCGGCCTTCCTTTTGAATTAAGAAATGGATGAGAATATTTGCTTGTAACAGTTACCATTAGTTCCATGGTGAGGGGGAGGGGGAAACCAAATACATAATATAAAAGAACAGGTATTATAATCACTTCATTAGTCTCCCAATGATTTATTGCTACTAGATTCTATCTGATTTTCTTTGACCTTGGGGTGTTTTGATGTGTGCTTTGGTTCTTGGGTATTTCTTTTATTTATTTCTACTTTTTAAATTGAATTTATTGTACCCCTGGCTACTGAAATATAGGTCTCAGGGGTACAATTCTATAATACATCATCTGTGTATTGTATTGTGTGTTTACCACCCCAAGTCAAGTCTCCTTCGACCTCCCCCACCTCCCTTTCCCCCTGGTAGTCACCATACTGTTGTCTGTGTCTGTGAGTCTTGCATATTTATTTTTATTGAAAAGAAATTTGAACCTGCTTCACGGCTTTCCTTGCCCTTATTGTTTTCCATGTGAGTGGAAAAGAAAATGAAATGTGAACATTAGAAGATTAAATGACAATTAAATTGTTACCGGTATAATTTATATTATCATTTCTCTGCTGTGGTACCCATTTTTACTTTGAAGGAGCTCAAAAGGTTGACAACGGGGTTGTGTTATCTGCTTGTTTTGGTAAATGTAACACATACAATTTTGTTGTAATTATTTTGTATGTAAGTCTCTCCACTCCCGAAGGTAGTGACCTGCGTCTGGTATAGCCCTGCCTGAGGCCTAGCACACAGGAGACTAGCTGTTGAAATTGTGAAGGGGTAATATTTTGGGGAATTTTAAGTCACTGTATGTTTGTTTTGGGTTTTCTACACTTCCAATTTGCCTGTAGTTTCTCTATCAAGAGCTTCCTCTGGCAAACTCTAATGATAGTTCTGTAAGATACAGAGGATATCTCCTCCATTATTAAGGCCCAACTTGAGGCTTAGTGCCTCCAGAAGGATGATGAAATGGAAGTGGAAAATCCATCTTTTTGGAGGAAGAGGGGGGAATAGAGGGAGAGAAGGAGACTGAGAAATTTATGTTCTGACCTATTGAGGCCAAAGTACTGGGGTTGAGGTGAGCATGGCAAATGCATTGAGGAGACAGTAAAGGCAGAAAGCCTTTGATGCTGCCCCTTCTTTGGAGTCTTGAGAGGAGGCAACTGTGTAGGTGAGTGCTGTGCCAACACTGGGTAGCAGAGCAGGGTAGAAGGAAGTGATAGATGAGTCGGAGGTGGTGGGGGATTCTGAAATGCTTCCCTACCACTGTGAGGGATGTGGAG